CAAGTGCACTTCCCGCGTCACGAGTGGACGGCAGGCGTCGCGTGTCACATGAAAGACGTCGGCATTTAAACGAAGTTCAAAATGTTTCAATGGGGTAAGTAATCGTTGCGTGATATTGGCTATATTTGGAATGTAAAGTGACTTTTTTGCATTAAATTCTTGGATTTTGACCATTTAATTTTTCCACTGCCATTGAGCTGTTGTTTTGGACTTTGTTTAGATGTACATGTACTTTGGAAAAAAAATGTTTGACTTTTTGCTGACTGGCACATTTCATTTTTGCCAAACTATGGAAGGCCGACCACTGCAAAATTGAATAAGATTTTAATTGATTAGAAGTATATAATTCAGTTACACAATGTATTGAACAAACGCCACAAAATACTTTCAGAACATTATTTTCTCCCCTTTTAAATATCGAATGTTTTTGTAGAAATTATTTTGCCAACCACGACTTAAAGTTTTGCGCTTGTGCTGCCCATGAAAATGTTGCCAATGTTTACAAACAATAAAAAGATCTATTATTAGCATTAAGGCCAAGTGGTCAGTCCATAAATTAGTCCACTTTTTCATGTCCGTGAAGATTTTTATTTCAGGACCCTTTTTTCAATGCCGTCCGATCCATCTCAAGTAATGATTACGGAAATCAAAGTACGGACAAAACAATTAAAAAGTATGAAGTCAATTACAATGATATTTGCGAGAGAAAAGTTATTAGGTGGAACAGGGACACCAAAAAATCCCAATGTTGTACCCTTCATTTATCGGCTGTCCCAATGTTCACTAGTCTGACCATGGTTCGTAAATGTATTATATTTGCATACCTTTCGGCTTCATCAGTAGGTTATCCACATCGAGGATTAATATAGGGGGCTAGCCAAAACTGGAGAGCATCTTGGAGGGTACCAATATTAACCAGTGGTGGAGCACTGCCAATTAGGAAAGTAAAAAAAAACAGATTCATAAACAATAGTTAGAAAATACATATCTCTCTTAAAATGTGTTTGAGCCCTGTTGAAAGGGCTCCGTCTGAAAACGGCAGTTTATTAGATATTGGACTCATTTTCAACGCCGAATCAGGTAGAGAAGTAGGTGTTGGCATTGTGATAATGAACCAAATCTCTGTAGTGATTATGTACCACTTTAGGCACCATTAGTATCTCCAACATGTCACTTTTTAAACAAATGCCCACAGCGACTGCATTTTCCCGGCAGCGTATTACTCATCGCTTATTCAGCTATTACTTGACAAAAGAGCTTTTGACCCATGTATTGAAGGGAGCTGGTTCATCTACGCCTGGACAGATTCAAATAAGATAAATGCAGGGGCCTGCCAAGAAAAAACTAATGGACTACCATTTCATATGGAGCAGTTTGAACAGTGCTGAAATTAATATTGACCCATTACAGATGGATGAAATGTTTTCATACAAACAGTGTTTTATCGACACATTGTATAACATTGTAAGCCTACCTTAGGTGGATGTCTGCATTGACTGTTGTCTTCTGCCGCACGCACTTTGGGTTAGAACACGTCACCGTTCGCTGGTTGCTGTGGAACACTGCCATAAACTTAACAAACATGTCAAATTCAGACCCGTATATACGTGTTCCAAGATTGGTGCATGTGATTTTGTATCTCCATGTTGCAAATCTTGTGGAGCCACACAATCTTTGCATAGTCCCACTGACCAAGGGAACAGTAGTTGCAAATCGCAAGTATCTGCCTGCAGAAGTCATGATTGCTCTGATTAAGAACCCTCCTCAACTTTGGAAAGTCATCTATCATGCGTGATAGCATGAGTAACAAGTTGTCAATGGTGCAGGTGATGTGCAGGTAAATTAGTTTTCCCATGTACTTGGCTTTACCTCCCCATAGTGGGAAGGGAGTAATTCTGCCTGATTTAGTTGATCTTGATGATGCAGGAGACTTTTGGTGTGATGACGTTGCTCTTTGCGACGTTGTTGCTTCCGCTTCTCGTTTCTCTGGTGATTCTTGTTTGGACGCCGCATTAGACATTGGAGATTCTTGCCTTGTTTGGCTTCTACGATGTTTTTGATGACACGAGTCAGACTCCTCGGCTTGTGCTGTTTTTGGCTGTCTGCACCCATGTGTCACTTTCGTTTTTCCAGTTTTCGATGTTGATGGTGTTTTTGACTGCTCTTTAGGTTTCTTTGGTGTTGGCATCTTGATAGGGCTTGTGAAGTATTTTGATTTTGATCTTTTCTTTTGTGGTCTCTTCCATACTTCCTCCGGGTTGTCAGTATCTTTTCGTTTCCGTTTTCGACTTTCCGTTTTGTGGTCTCTTCCATACCGTCACCGACACCACGAACTGACACCCTCTGCATCACATGTGTACAAAAAAAAATTAAAATTAAAATTTTCTTTTTTTGCACATATTAGCAGTTTGTATCATGAAGTTTAACATGACGAGGTTAAAATTGCTGAAATCATCTAAAATAAGCGAATTTTACTAATGAATTTTCAAGAAATTTGTCAATTCTGGTATTTTTGGTCACCACGAAGTGACACTGCACAGGGTGTCAGTTCGTGAAAACCAAAATGTACGTGTTTCCGGAGAGTGCGCGCATGCAATAGCGTTAGTGAGTGTCAGTTCGTGAAAACCAAAATTGACGCGTTCTGGGAGAGTGCGCGCACGTATGCGCAGTGTGTGCGCGCACTCTCCCAAAATTGGTCAATTTTGGGTTTCACGAACTGACACTCACTAACGCTATTGCATACGCGCACTCTCCGAAAACACGTAAATTTTGGTTTTCACGAACTGACACCCATCTTAATCTTTTAATTGCTAATGAACTAAGCAGATCTTTACAATATAACGTTTATAAGTGAGTAGTGAAAGCATTTTTACGTTGAGTGATACTAAAACCTCTAAGATAGATGGAATATTTTACTGAGTAAATTCGTGTCAAACCTTTAAAAGCGTTTTTCTCCGATTTCTATTTCTGCAACGCTGACCACCGGGTGTCAGTTCGTGGTGTCGGTGACGATACTTCCTCCGGGTTGTCAGTATCTTTTCGTTTCCGTTTTCGACAGGGTCGCATTTCAGTTTCACCTAGTCGTCCACTTACATTCGTGAAGGATTTGCGTATGAAGTGACCAGCCGTGAGACGAACACGACGCCCAGGACAGAAATCTTTTTTTCACAATTCCGAACCAGTTTTCAACGATGCTATTCGTTGCTCTGTTGATGCTTGGTGGTTCAATACCGACTGTTTCAGGGCAGTACCGACGGAGATCTCCAAAAAGTAGAGCACCCCAGAGAGGATATACATGTAGAAACCCGTCTGTGATGCGTTTGATGGCGCCGGGTGTGAAATACGTATTTGGTGAAGCCGTATCTCCAGTGAAATCATCGTCACCTTCTTCATCAACACCTTCTTCCTCAGAACCACCTATTAACTCATTTACTGCAGTCGCAATACCTTCAAACTCCTTGTGCCAGGGAGAGCTGTCTCTGATGGTAGAGGAGCGCGAGAAAAAACCTTCCTCCTGATCAATTGTGCTTTTTTGATTGTCACTGTCTTCAACGCCCAACTCTTCAAGAACAGTACCTGCGCTATTTCTAGATATCAGGTCTTGTAGTGCTTGTAGAGACGAATTCACGCTTGTGCTTGTAAGCCGTGAGTTCAACAAAATGCACATGTGTCTGAAGGTTTCCTTGGCCCGAAGGAAACTTCATTCGATTTGCAGCAAGGCAAAGCAGTAGAGGATAAATTGTCTCTTGCCTTTGTCTGTGGACAATTCCTTCAGCCTCTGGGAAACATCCTTCAAGATATGGGCTGCACAGATGTGTGGGTATGTGTATCCTTTCACATCTGTTGCAGCACATTTGCCGTGGACCAGATTAAACGTCCTCCTCAGATACGACTTGCAGTCCTCCGCATTAAATGCACCAAGCACAGATTGAATCAGTGCCCATGAGAAGTCCACCTCAACTCTTCTGGGGATGACTGCTGGAAGAGACCTTGTCTTCGTTATGGCATTTTTGAACCTGCCAATGAAATGCTGGATTTCAGACGCATGTTGATCAGTTGACAGCATTTCAGCAACGGGAATCGCCGCTCTCCCAACTAATGGGTTTTGGGCAACAAGAGCGTAATAACAAATCCTCTTGTCTTGACCTGGAATTTTCTTCACCACTGAACTGGTAGCATCAAAGTACAAGACCATGGGTCCTTTCTTCAGTTCGTCAAGGTAAAACTCTATTTGTTCATCTAAGAGTAAATGTACCTTGAACGGCCTGGCAGAGAAGTACTGGATGAAACCACCATCAGTGAAATGGCAAGCAGGATGTACTTCTCGGTAGATCTCTTGCAGTAGCATTATCTCCTGAAGTGCGTTAACATGGAGGTTTGAAAAACCTTTCTTTTCAGAGATGACCTTTCGTAACACATCTAAAGATGAGCACGCTGTCAGGTTGCCTGCTTTTTTCTCTTCACTTGTCATGTTAGAGATTGTCCTGTAGAACCAATTTGTCACACCTTCTGTTTCCAGTTCTTGTCCAACGACTCTCCTCCGTTCACCTTTCACGTGTCGTTTTTTCCCCATGCTGTTTTTGTGATTAATGTCACCCTTACGCAGAACATTCACTTTGATGCGTTGTTGTCTTTTGGTAGGTTTGTTCCTTATTGTGAAAACATACTTGCAGCAACTGGTAAACTTGCACACTCCAACAAATTTCACATAAGGACCCCGTCGTTTCCTGCTGTCTGGTCGTTTGCAACGGTTATATTTGAATGCAAGGACGCAACTCTTATTCCAGACTTTGAATTTGTCCGCCATTAATTCAGTCCAGTTGTTCATGAGGCGAAGCATTTTCCGAGTAGGTTTAATTGCTGACCATTCCTCCTTAGTAATGGAAAAGGAACATTTCTTTGGCTTGTTTTGCTGCGGAATCTCTGTTTGAGAGCTATTCAGGTCCGCTTCCTCTGACAACTCACTGGTGTTCATGTTCCTTAAGTTGTTTGTTTTCTGATCAGTGCGTGCAGGGCCTGAATTCATCTCGCAGGTCATCGTCATCATTAAATCCAGCCTCATCATGAGACAGTGTTTCACCTTGTTTGTTGTGGCATACAGGACAGTAATATGGCAGGTCTTCATTGCTACCATCATTGATGAAGTTAACACACTCGAAATGATACCATTTCATGCAATTATTGCACTGAACATACGGTCTGCCATCATTGGGTTGTCTGCAAATGCAATGCAAACTGGGCATATCTTCATTCTCATCGGCGTCAGGTACATGCTGTTTGGTTGGAGGAGAAGGGTCAACTTGACCTTCTGCATCACTATCGTCACAGTCAGTTTCATAGATACATGTATTGGCTGGTTGAGACAGGTCAACTTGATCTTCTTCTCTCCCGGCAACTTGATCTCCCTCACTCCCGTCAGAGTCAGAAACATATTGTTTGGCTTGTGAAGACGGCTCAACTTGATCTTCTTCACTCCCGTCAACTTGATCTCCCTCACTCCCGTCAGAGTCAGAAACATATTGTTTGGCTTGTGAAGACGGCTCACTGTGATCTTCTTCACTCCCGTCAACTTGATCTCCTTCACTCCCATCAGAGTCAGAAACATATTGTTTGCCCTGTGAAGACGGCTCAACTTGATCTTCTTCACTCCCGTCAACTTGATCTCCCTCACTCCCGTCAGAGTCAGAAACATATTGTTTGCCCTGTGAAGACGGCTCAACTTGATCACATTCACTCCCGTCAACTTGATCTCCCTCACTCCCGTCAGAGTCAGAAACATATTGTTTGCCCTGTGGAGACGGCTCAACTTGATCTTCTTCACTCCCATCAGAGTCAGAAACATATTGTTTGCCCTGTGGAGACGGCTCAACTTGATCTCCCTCACTCCCGTCAGAGTCAGAAACATATTGTTTGGCTTGTGAAGACGGCTCACTGTGATCTTCTTCACTCCCGTCAACTTGATCTCCCTCACTCCCGTCAGAGTCAGAAACATATTGTTTGGCTTGTGAAGACGGCTCACTGTGATCTTCTTCACTCCCGTCAACTTGATCTCCTTCACTCCCATCAGAGTCAGAAACATATTGTTTGCCCTGTGAAGACGGCTCAACTTGATCTTCTTCACTCCCGTCAGAGTCGGAAACATAGTTTTTTGCTTGTGAATAAGGGTCAACTTGATCTCCTTCACTCTCGTCAGTATCAGAAATATAGTATTTTGTTTGCAAAGACGAGCCAGCTTGACCTTCACCCCTGTCAGAGTCAGAAACATATTGTTTTGCTGTTGAAGACGGTTCCAATTTATCTCCTTTACTCCCATCAGAGGCCGAAACATAGTGTTTTGTTTGTGCAGACAGGTCAACTTGATCTTCGTCACTCCCGTCAACTATATCTCCTTCACTCCCATCAGAGTCAGAAACATAGTGTTTTATTTGTGGAGGCGTGTCAACTTGATCTTCTTCACTCCTGTCAGAGTCAGATACATAGTGCTTGGTATTCTTGTCTGCTGCATCACTTGAGTGAGACGCATAGTGTTTGGTTTCTGGAGAAGGGGCATCTTTGTCTGCTTCGTCACTTGAGTGAGAGGGAGACGCATAGTGTTTGGTTTCAGGAGAAGGGGTATCTTTGTCTGCTTCGTCACTTGAGTGAGAGGGAGACGCATAGTGTTTGGTTTCAGGAGAAGGGGAATCTTTGTCTGTTTCGTCACTTGAGTGAGAGGGAGACGCATAGTGTTTGGTTTCAGGAGAAGGGGCATCTTTGTCTGCTTCGTCACTTGAGTGAGAGGGAGACGCATAGTGTTTGGTTTCTGGAGAAGGGGCATCTTTGTCTGTTTCGTCACTTGAGTGAGAGGGAGACGCATAGTGTTTGGTTTCAGGAGAAGGGGCATCTTTGTCTGCTTCGTCACTTGAGTGAGAGGTAGACGCATAGTGTTTGGTTTCAGGAGAAGGGGCATCTTTGTCTGCTTCGTCACTTGAGTGAGAGGGAGACGCATTATGTTTGGTTTCAGGAGAAGGGGCATCTTTGTCTGCTTCGTCACTTGAGTGAGAGGAAGACACATAGTGTTTGGTTTCAGGAGAAGGGGCATCTTTGTCTGCTTCGTCACTTGAGTGAGAGGGAGACGCATTATGTTTGGTTTCAGGAGAAGGGGCATCTTTGTCTGCTTCGTCACTTGAGTGAGAGGAAGACACATAGTGTTTGGTTTCAGGAGAAGGGGCATCTTTGTCTGCTTCGTCACTTGAGTGAGAGGGAGACGCATAATGAAAAGGAATATCTTCGTCGCCCGCATTTTCATTTTTTCCTCTTCTGGCACAGTTTTCCTTTCTTTGTATAACTCTATCTCTCAATCCATGTCTGTTTCTATGCCATTGGTTATACAACCACTTCCTGTTCTTGATATTGTTTTTCAGTTTCATTGAACGTGCAACATCACCCAATACACACGTTGTTCCTCTGTAGCCAGCAAGATCAATTTTTTTAAATCGGGGAACTTTTGTAAACATCCAAAGAGTGTGTCTACGCTACGTAATTTCGCCATTTTCCTTCGAATAACGCTTGTTTTCTGAGCAGTGAAGAAACCTGAACATAAAAAAACAAGAACGATAAGAAAAGTAAATTATTAATACAAACAGAAAAGCATTGTAGACTCCAGCTTATCAAGTCTAATAATTTTTGAGCTAACTACCTCCCGTTCAGACTGACGTTCAAGATTCTCGCCATGGTGTTTTTGAAACATTTGAAATTAATACACCGCGCAATTTCCGACCCAGGCAGGAAGGTCAACAGACGAATCTTCATCATAAATTTTGCAGAAAAAAAGGAAAGGACCGTTGCGAGACGGAAAGTAATGAAGCTCTGCTTTTTTGGCCTTTCTGAGGCTGTTCTGGATGACTAAAAAGCAATCAAACTTTCACCCCGTTAATCATGTCTCATAAATCAGACTTTAAATGAGGTCCAAAGTAAAATTTTAGGTTTGTACTAAATGCGCATTTCCATTTCCATGAGCAAATACAGAAACTCAAATGTAGATACTGTAGGTTGACAGAGTTGTTGCCCTTGTTCTGTCGGGACACGGCAGTCAGTCACGAACAAAGTGGTTTTACCTTTTTTTGTTTTACAATTCAGCAAGTAAACTTTTGGTTCAAAACTTTAACACGGAAAAACCAAAAACTGAACAGTACTTTCCTGAAATTACATCACAGTGCCGGCGCACTCAGTGTTCCCAAAAAGCATGATGTTCATATTTCTATGCGATTAATCAAAATTAATGCGAAATTCGTTTAAGAAAGACAGGTGCACAAAACGTTTCCCAAGAGAGACACATCTTGTGCACAACTCATTATTTTTTTGTTAAACAATAACGAAAGATGTCCGGTGGACCCATTAAACCAAAAGTAAACCAATAACGGTAACAGACAACGCATCAAAATGCAAAATTTGATCCTCTTTTTTTAATTTAACTCTGATATTACAAAAGCCTCGTTATTCCGGTGGTTGAATGGTCGGTTAAGACAAAGCCGAACAAGGCAACTAATATTGCACCTACATGAATTCCAAAAGGAAGACGGATTAGCTTTAAAGTTGTAACACTATACCTTTACATAAAAAGCCTGCTTAGGCCTATGTTGAAATACAAAACGGTCATTAGTTTGTGGGTTTAGGGACGAAGCATATGGATATTTTAAAACCCACAAAAGGTATGATAAACATCGTTATTTTAATGTTTCAATAATTATTTTGACATCTTGCACAATTTGGGGTGAAAATTAAGTAACATTGTACTCCAGGACTGAAATACGGCTGTAAATTTCCCTCAGATTTTCAATTGATAAATGCAATGGGTTTTTTTTTGGGGGGGGGGGGTGCAAGTTTATATGCACTTTTTATAATGTTTAGCTCAGTGACCACTTTCAATTCTTTAAGACACATGGAGGTGATATAGTTATTACTACACCCTATAAACAATTTATAATTTACAATGATTTGAATTTACTCTTAGTTCCTTTTTGAATGAAGTGTTTTCAGTGAGATAAGCTAAGCTTGTGCAGTTTATTTTTTAATTTTTTTTTGGCAATCAATTTGCCCAGCCATTGGACGTTGTACACCTGGTCAATATCTTGGGGAAATATAGTCCTACACGGCTTTGGCATGGTTTCAAAATCCGACTAATAGACGGACGGCCGGTTCCGAGCATTCCGAGCTGTCTTGGGCGCGGTGAGTAGGGCGCCCTCAACAGTTTATTACTTTCCTTGTTGCGTTGTGACCTGCAGGGTCAGGGCCTCCTGACTGACGGTGGACTTCTGTGTGATTTTGTACCTTTGCCGTGATTACTACGAGTTATGATATCTCCAACGTATTCGTTATCATTCATGGTATGACTGTTATGGTGATTTAATGCCAGATTGGCCCCCAAATGGTTAGTTTGTTGCTACAAAACGTAACTGTTTGCACGTTGCAGTGACCATGACATTGTGTGCAGTGGTACATAAACAACAACAAGCGTGTGGAGCTACGTCCATGGTGTAAGCCACCGAGTCCACCATTTTGTTTGGTACTGAGTTGAATGTGCAGTCCATTATTTTTATACTCCTGTTTCATTATTTCAAACTTTTCGTCACGTTTTTCAAGTTCAACCATTTCCCTGATTTTTGTTCCAGAGGGTACAAACAATGTCTTAAAATTGAGTATTAAGATACTATGTTGAGACTTTGTACTTCGATTCAGATGCTGCTGGACCCCCCCCCTTTCCCCACCCATGCCACTCCGTTTCAGATATGCAGCTATAATTATCTCCACTAATGTTAGTGCGCTAGTGCACTGTGACCCCTAATAATTATAAACTGTATCTGAAGTTACTGACGCCCACAAATAGTGCCTGTTAAAAATCTTCCATATTAACATCTCCATTCATAACACTTTTGGAAGTGAACCAAACATTTCCTTATACTTCATAGTTCTCATCTAGATTGTCTTTGAAAATTATTTGAAACAGATTTGTGGAGTCCTGAAAACATAAGACTTTTCAAACAGACAACATTTACAATTATTTATTGATTGTAAACAAGGGTTTCGCCATTACTCTGTAGATACATTTGAGGGTACATAAATTGACTAAAAATTGCTTAATTGTCCAAGAGGATTAAGTTTATTCAAAGCCATGATAATTGAAATGTATAGAGGCCTAGGTTGCAAAACCTTGTATAAATTGAATCATGTAATACAAATATATAGTAAGCACTGTTTTTATTTCAAATTTACAGGTTGTGTGTTTAATTTATAAATACATGTAAGTGAAAAATGGTAGAAAATAATATTACATATAATTAAATCTAAATATAGTATTTACTAGGCCATGTCTTTTTAGTTGCAGGGATGTACATTTCTAAGATGTCATTATCAATCGGGTAATTTAGCCTACAAATTTTCATTGACCCATCATCTAAATGTGAAAATGAAGATTATGATAGCGAAGAAATAGAGAGGTGAAAGCATATATCCTTAACCTTAAGAGAAGAAGATAGTGACAGGAAAGGGGGCTATCTGTACCTAATCACCCTCATGTCAGTTAGGCTGGTGCCCGCATGATGTCCTGACAGTGTTGGGCATGTAAGAATGATCTCTGATCCTCGGGACGCCGTATCCAAGTTATTATTGAACAATTCGGCGGATCAGTTATGGTGGCGTTGAGAAATACACCTTTCATATTACCATGTGCTGTTGTCTCTGTACGGCTGGATGTTGCAACAAGGTGGCCATCATGGACAGACTGACGAACTTATGATGGACGACCCCCTTATATGAGAGAGTTGTAGGCATCCAGATCGGTGACAGTACCCATAAGAACAGGGCATTAACCAATCACATCACAAACAAACGTTCTAGCGTCCCCACATGACTTTTATCCAATCAGAAAGCCCCTTTCCTTTCTTCCCAAAAGAGTTCATCTATAGACATTCTGCAGACTTGGTGGTTAAAAAATAAAAAATTGCGAGCGTCCCCACGTGATCAGATACCATTTTGGTTGACATCTACCAGTAAACATGTGCATGGGTAACCACGTGTTGCTTATTTTTCAACATTTTGTTGGTTCATGTGATCATGCAGTAGGCAATCAGGAAAACTAATTATTCCTACAATAACAATATATATATTTATTATAATATTTCGACCTTAATCTGTCAATTATTCTTATAATTTGTGAAAGCAATTGTTAGGAGGTAGTAGACCCTGCCCCTTTTATTTCTGATATAAAAGTTAATTTAAAATGTGTTATCATCAGTTTCTACATTATTTTACTGCTTAATTGTACAGCTATTTACTGTTGGTTCTGTTGTAGATTTTTTTTATAGCTAATCTTTGATGATTTCATCATAACCTTTGGATATCCCAACAGTGTGCAAATCAACTTGATTCCATTTTTTGGTGGTAAAGGGCGGGACAAGGAGATTAACAAGTAAGGGGAGGCAAAGCGCGCCAAAAAATGTTTTTGTTTCAATAACGTCCAGTGCTACTTAATCCGAAGCGCCATTTCTCATTGCCCTGACATCACAAATGTACGTACGCTCTCGCTTGTGAAAGAACAATGTTACAAGTAATATATAATTATTGTTTTCCCCTCCAATATAGATTACGTAATGTTTGGAAGGGTAGAACATCACAAGTTCTTCTTCCTCTTTATGGGCGATTCACAAACCCATTTCATTAAGGAGCACACGTTCTCTGCAAACACAAATCGCAATCTCGCTACAGGCAAACTTCTGTTTTCTTTCCTTCAAACTTTAAATGTCTCTGTGTTTTTCCTCTGGACGAGGTCTTGTTAAGATCGAAATATGAAAGGCCCTGTTAATTTGTTTGATTCCCAAAAGTGCATTAGTACTCATATGAAGATTATGCTCCTTCGTCATCTGTGTAGAACTGCGTTGTCACAAGTCAAAGGGGAAAAAATAAAATTACCTAAACTTAGCCAAGGCTTTGTCATTTTGGTTTTGAATCGTTGAGAGGAAGGTTGTGCTTCAATGCTGTTGCAGTGTACTCCTGAAGTGTAATTGTCTGTTGACACCTTTTTAACAGGTTCAATTTACTGGATTGATGTTAATGTCCATCCCCTTGAAATATTTCTTTCGCCAACAATCCTGAATCCTCGAATTTTAATACGATTTTGCACACCCCATAGGGAATAAGGGTTAAAGAATCCTGAATACAAAATAATAACCAAAACAATGGGTCTGGCCCCACTTGAACCCGGATTCCGGGACAAATTTTAGCCGGTAGGAAGATCGCTAAAATTGGTTCAAATTGTGATACCCATTATTACACTACACAAATTTTAATTGAAATTCTGTTTGAAATATGAAAACGACAAGAAACGATGTTGGTTGTAGTCAAATTTTTTTCCCCCTCAATTTGAAAAATGTGAGTATTTTGCGATAAACTGTATTATAGGTTAATCCCCCAGAAATTAACAAAAACAATTAGTTACAGTACAAAATTTGCGAAAAGAAGTGAGCGCCGTCCCGTAACCCAAGGAACAGTTTCCATATCCTCATTGTGGTTGAGTTGTTACAATAAATAATAATTGTTACAATAAGGGGTGTCTTGTGGCTTTCATTGTCCAAGTTGCCCACAATGAGCACTCCAGGAAGGAGGGTACGCGTTCTCTGTAACCAAAGTCACCACTTCTGTAACATCTTTAGTTATGAATAGATCGTGAAAATTAAAAT